CTTGGAAGCAACATTTAACTTTTTGTACAACATTTAACCCAACTCCGTACAATCATCTCTGTAAAAGGAGAACACTTGTGAAAAACAAAATGGCCACTAGTTCGCCATTTTGAATCGAATCACGAAAAAAGACTAAAAAGACAATACCCATAAGGCTTGAAACATAAAAATATAAATCTGAATTAAAACTCATTCTCTCCCCTCTCCTAACTTCAATTGGTAGATACTGGTGCACCTCAGGTCATCTTTATGGCTCATCTGTGGCTATATGGTTAATTTACATATCAGTTTGTGGCCCATGCACCCTGTGCTAATTTACATGAACCAATGGAGGTTGTGACACATGGACAAAACTTATGGTCTGTGAGGAAGAAGACAGAAAATCTTGTGCAGTGAGTGTAAATATTAAAATAAGACAATGATTTTTTTTCTGAAAAATATATTTGTTTTTCCCTCTACAGTTTCATTAGTGATGTACAAATGTATTACCATATAATTATTGTTATCCACTGAAAACATTTATATTATCATATCAACATATTCAAATGTGTGATAATAGTTGCATAACTCATTCTACATTTCGTAAATTTCTGGTGAATAATATTTATTAAACCATTGTTATGACTTATAGTATATTCACTTAGTAATATATCCTATTTAAGTTTTGAATGAAAATCTTGAAAAAAGTTTTATTTATTTTCTAAGTTGTTGGCCAACTGTTATTATAATATAATTTATTTAATATATGTTTATAATATAGTATTGTAAAATCTACATGAAATCCTGACAGATGTCACATCATATCATGTGCATTATAGTAAGCTAAATTTTAAGTAAAGTAAGAACAAACTTTACAATGAGTACTACGAAAAATACACAACTGAAACACTGACAAAAAACAATATTAATGAGTTTAGAGATGCTGAATTGTTCGTGTTTGAATTACTAACATCAAGTCTCACAAACTTTGAGTTAAAAAACTTGACGTTTGGGTAACTGTTAATTTAAACAGTGGATCTGGTTTTGCAAAAGTGGGTGTGGTTCCTAAATATGTTTTTGCAACATAGCTCAACAATTCAGTATCTCAGTGGAGTTCAAATGAATGAATGACACTCAATTGTTGATTGCTTTTACACCTTCTTCAAGTTCTTTCATTAGTTTTAAACAAAGTTCTTCCTGCCATTTTAATGCAATACACTGCACTCCAACAGGGAGCCCAACAGACCCAGTACATGCCTGCAAAAGATAAATCATCAATCTAATAACATATACCACATATATTTAAAACTTTAATCTCCAAAAAAAGTAAATGCATCAGTTGCTTTACTCGGAATCATTTTCACAACTGCATTTCTTTTTAAGCCATTACCACAGATTAATTCATGATATGCTTGACATATTAATATTTTGGGGTTTGATATTTCAGACATTTTAAATGGAAGTGTATTATATCTTCTATATGTTATTCTATTTTTGTAACAGAGTTTTGAATTCGGTGTGGCTTAATTCCATTTTCAACGTCTAAATTTTGATTACTTGTTATTAATCTAGGTACAGAAATTCTTTGTTTTGTTTTTAACATCCAAGTAATCTTGACTTTAAATGCAATGAATGACAAATATATTTTTTGTTTACTAAAAATTTGAATGAAAGTACTTTAGATACTATGATTGCGACACGATGTACATATAAGCTAAATCATTTTAAATGAATCTTTTTCAAAGGTACATTTATTTCAGATAGTTTTATTTTAACTTTGAATTTATGATAGTTTGCAGTACCTCAACTGCAAGCTTGTCCCAGTTATCTTTAACTTGAAACTCAGTTGCTAAGTTATCCTCATCTTCTTGCGTAACCTTGGTAACAGTTACAGTGCCTGCTGGGATATCTAGCATATTGTAGATTGCAGTTGTACCGGCCACAGCTGTGAAGTACAATCATAATAAAATATGAATACAAAGATAATACAAGCAGCCTATCGGCTGAGATAGCTCCGCTGTTAGCAATGCGCATTTCAATTAAAGAACTGAAGACATTATTAGAAAATGAACAATATGTATAGTATCAAAGCAATCGGACTTACAGTGTTTAACAAGAAGTCGAAAATATCACTTTCTACCAAAAATGACAAAAATATTCACCAAAATTAGAGAATTTAAGATATCATCACGAAATGAACAAATCTGAGAAAGGTCTACATGTAGTATCTATATATGTAATATCAAAGCAATTGAACTTTTGGTTTTTAACAAGAAGTCGAAAATATCACTTTTTACCAAAAATTACAAAAATATTCAACAAAATTAGAGAATTGAAGATATCATCACAAAATGAACAAATCTGAGAGAGGTCCACATGTAGTACCTATATATGTAATATCAAAGCAATTGGACTTGCGGTTTTTAACAAGAAGTCGAAAATATCACTTTTTACCAAAAATGACAAAAATATTCACCAAAATTAGAGAATTGAAGATATCATCAGAAAATGAACAAATCTGAGAGGTGTCCACATGTAGTACCTATTTATGTAATATCAAAGCAATCGGACTTGCGGTTTTTAACAAGAAGTCGAAAATATCACTTTTTACCAAAAATGACAAAAATATTCACCAAAATTAGAGAATTGAAGATATCATCACGAAATGAACAAATCTGAGAGAGGTCCACATGTAGTACCTATATATGTAGTATCAAAGCAATTGGACTTGCGGTTTTTAACAAGAAGTCGAAAATATCACTTTTTACCAAAAATGACAAAAATATTCACCAAAATTAGAGAATTGAAGATATCAACATGAAATGAACAAACCTAAGAGAGGTCTACCCAAGGTACATATACACCAAGTATCAAAGCATTCAGGCTTGTAGTTTTCAAGAAGAAGTCAAAAAAGTAAAACATTGACACGGACGACGAGGGACGACAACGACGGACAATCACTCATATGATAAGCTCCGCTCGACAAAGTCGACAGCGGAGCTAATAAAAACTTTATTTAACTCAAGAAAAAGAAATATTAATATGCATACAACTTTGTCACAAACCTTTCACCATTATTACCATCTGTATAACAAGTTTAAATGAAATATAGTTTCATGGAGTTTTAAATTCATAGACCAACAATGAAGCTGACATTATGCACCGATAACATAAGAGACATCAACTTACAAAAAAGTTTTGCTGCATATTCATTAGAACATGCAGTTATACCAAATCCAGGACCAATAAGTACATCAATATTAGCATCCTTCCATGCACTTACAAACTTAGAGAAATATTCCTGAGAAGACAAGTCATTGATGATATGTGAACACGATTAGTATAGACATGTACAAAACACTAGTCTGGATTGGTGAATGCATGGATAGAGGTTGAATATATTCTTTGAAACCAGGGATATATATTGAATAAATAAATATTTTGTTAATTATTTTCATCTTATTTCAAATGGCTGGCTTTTTGTCTTATTTATCATTTATAGTGCATTTACTTCAAAATCTAGATAAGAATAGAAACATAATAAAGATTATTACTATACATCTATCACCGTAACGCCATAAGTTACAGCGTGCCGTAATTTTGTGGTATTTTCATCCTACTATATAAGGAAATGTGAATTCCAAATATGGAAATCAACATTCCCAAGGTGAGTCCTTGGAAGGAAAAGATGTATAATAATAAGGTTATTATGAAAATACCTCAAAGTATGTACTCAGACAGTACACTGCGCATCGACCTCCGCTGCAAGTCGCTCGATACTCCAGCTGTACTGTCTTCGTGCATACTTTGAGGTATTCTCGTAATAACCTCATATTATTATTATTAAAAAATAGGATTCAATGTAACAAACAATTTGCCTAATTTGAATCCATTCAACACAGTCATGTGTGCCATCATATTTATTTGGATTACAAAATGAATGAAATATCATGTACATTGTATTAATAGCTTTACATGCATGTATAATGAAATCTATCAAGAAATATCTAAGAAATACTATACCAGTACTACTATACCCATTTTTTTGACAAAACGCTTACTTTAAATTGTTTAAGTTTTCATTCATTTTTTTATCATGCCACACATTGTTTACAACCACCATTCTCATTCATGAATTCCTCCTTAAATAACACCTTCATTTGATTTGGCCAGCTTGCCTTGGGTTTCATTCTGATTCCCATTCAAGCAGTTATTTGCCATTCATTGCGACCTAATTCCACATTCAGCATTCTTGTTAAGCCAAAGGTCACATCTTGACCTGGGCCCCAGGCAACCACAACCACATCATTTTCTATTCTATTGTTTTGTATTCATTTCACTTTTATTAAATTTCTTTCACCCTGCGTGGCAGTGTAACTTTGCAAACTTGGTTATAACAATTATTAAATCAACTTACTGCCCCCTTAAGATGATCAGACCAAAGCTCAGATGTTCTTTTGTCTTCATTACGGCAGGAGTCGTAATATCTCTGCATTCTGTTTGACTGCAGGATATAAATATTCAGAACAAATAAAGACAATGACAGTCTCAAGATGTGTTTGTGCTCAATGATAGATATACAGGAATTGCACATATCTATGATATAACACAAAAAGAGTTAAACGCAATCATGTCAAAGAGTTGGATCATGTGCACAGTATATTGTAAAAATGGTACATTGTTGAGTCATGTGATCTAAATGACATACACTGAAATGAAGACTTCAAGTTGAAAACCTAAGCTGCCAGTTAATGATCAATAATCAAACATGCACACAACAAACCTAATCTCTTCATTTAAAGAGATGGGATCGATTCAACCAAGAGATTACTTTTGCTGTGTACATGTTTTAATTAAAATGCAAGACCATGTCAAGTTCGATAAAAGTCTGAGGCATGCAGCACATTGGTATCACCTGATTTAAACCCACACACATTGATCAATATAATGATATATGATTTTGTTGTAAATCATCACTATAATTTTATGGTCAGTATAATGCTAATACAAGTATAATAATATAATTTATTATGTTATTTTCCTATTTCATTTCACCACTGACTATAAATAAAAAAAAATGATTGTATATATACTTACCATGAATGGCCACATTAATTTTCTTTTCAGTGATGTTATATTGAAATAATGTAACTGTAATGATAAATATTTGTCAACGTCTTCATCTTCTCTGGAACGATAAAATATGCATTGTGAGAAATTACCTCATTTGAACAATATGTGGAACTCATTCACTGAGCAAATTTGGCAAAAACTGGTTGTATAGTAATCTCAACAACAGATCAGAAAAAATTATCTGACAGTAAAACTTAATGTCAGAAGTCAGAAAATAAAAACATAATGAGAATGCATACTGCGTATGGAATTGTTCTACAAATAGCAAATTTTGAAAAATATTGTTTTTCAAAAAAAAATTACTGTAACACACAAAAAAATGCTATTTCATTGTGCTATGGGTTAGTAGCTCCATGATCTCACTGTAAACCAATGAACATTGTTATGCAATTTACCTTAACCCAGGTGAAACTCACAAATTATTCTTCTGAATACTATTTATTATGAAATAATGCTTTAACATAGATTCCTTAGGAAATTGTCTTAAAAATGTCCATTTATGCATTTTTCTCAACTGTTATTCTGAATTATAATAATAATTCGTACGGAGTAATAAACAAAAAAATCAATAAATATGTGACACATTTGAAACCAAAAAATTGTGATAGATTTGTCCCAAATTTATTAGTTCTAAATGCATAATTAACACTTAATAGCAATGGTTCAGTGTGCGTCTGATATACTACTATCACATGTACCTCTATGAGATGTGCTTCTATAACATTTTGACACGGATCTTTTGAAAATAGGACTTACAGATGTGACATAAATCGTTTACTTCCATCGGCAGTGATCGCCTGCAATGCTAGATTTGCCAGTGTGTGATTATCTTCATCAGTAAGTAATTTTTTAATATTGAATGGAATCAACTGTAAACAAAGAAGTATTATTAGATGATAGTTATATCTCCACTAAAAAAAATGGTATAACCTACTTACAATAATAAAATATGCCTTTTATATTGTGACTTGAGTTTTTTTAGGAGTCAAGCACTATGATTGGTTGAAAATAATTTGGGAATTGTTTTGTGTCAAGAACTATGATTGGTTGACAATAATGCTGATATCTTTTTTGTATCCAACCATTGTGGGTGTTTTAGGAAAAGGTATGTGACTTTTATCAATTATATTAAAGCATGGCAAGTGCATATGTTCATAGACAATTTTTGTTTGGATAGCATTGAGTATTTATATATCCTAAATATGGGGCCAGGGTTTGAAATTTATAGATCCTAAGGTTTAAAATGAACTTTACAAAAAAATGACAAAAATATTCACTAAAAAATATTTGCCAAAAATAGGGCATTGAAGATTTTGTCACCAAACAAAACTAAGAAAGTCCAACCCAATAAATGTACAATATCAATATCAGCATGTGGACCGAATTGTGTCATAGTAAAAATCATTTCGTATTTGTTATAGTTTTTGGTAGCTAATCTGTCTATTTTTTTGCAGATCAACTTCTCATGAACAAATTTCCATTTACACTTCTCAAGGCAACAAAACAAAAATCAGTTAGGTTGAGTGGTTTTTGAGAAGAAGTTACCCACATCCATCCCTCCATCCCTCCAGTATCACAGCACCATCGGTTTAGCTCGTCAGTAGACCTATGGTCCATTGAGCTAAAAATGGCATTAAAATGCATGTCTATACAGGAACATTTATGCAGGAATATACAATTTAGATTTACCATATATTTTGAATGTGCATGCATGTAACTTGCAAAGATAAACTGTTGTTAAATGACTGTATGGAAAGTATAAACTAACAATTACCTACCGTATGTCCTCTTGATTTGAGAGCCTCTACAGCCACAGACACAGCACGTCTACATGCAGGAACAGGGGTGAAGTAACCATCATCGTCATAGTAACCAACTCTCATAACCTTTATGTTTGAGAATGTCTACAAAATAATTTTTTAAATTTTGTTTCTTAGACAATTCAAAACACGTTGAACAAAAAACTATTGAGTAACACATATACAAACACTATAAGATTTTCAACATATTCCACACTGATGGTGCCTACTGTGAAAATATTATGTTATGGGTGAATATGAGCTAAAATACTTCTAGTACTGTAACTATAATATTGTGATCTTCTGTGTGTTGACAAACTCATTATTCTAAAGCCACTATTTTTTAAACAGCACCCTGCAGACAAAACCATAAAATTAATTTGGAACAAAAATAGCCAATTTTTTGAGAAAAAATTAAAATTGACTAAAATTTGTCTGTTGGTTCCAAATTAAAAGTTCTCCAGAAAAAATAAAGAATATAATAACAAGCTATGCATGGCACAGTCCCCGTTAGTTATCAAATTTAAGGTACTGTGGAATACTTTATTTTCGCTGGAATTAATTTTCACTGAAAAGGCTTTTAGGGCGTTTTGTATGGAATTTATTTTCACTGATTTTTGATTAGTTTAATGTGAAACATAGGAAAAAAAGTATAATCGCTGGATTTTATTTTCACTGAATCATCCCTTCAGCGAAAATAGCGAAAATAAATTCCAAGCGAAAATAAAGTATTCTACAGTATATGGTTTTGTTTATAATAATGTGTCCATAAAATATAACCATGTCAGGAACATGATTATGATGATTGTTTAATATTAAAATGATTGACATTTGTATCTGATCATCAAACGAGTACTTGTCTACATTAAGAGATATTGCTCTGGAACAGCATTAATAAAACAAAATCAGCCATTTCGAATAC